CCAAGAAAAAGAAATACTCAACTAAGTATTACAAGGAGCAGAAAAATCATTAAAAGATTATATAAAATACTGTATATTTGCAGAACAAATACCAATAGAATTTCTACCAGAAGACTTAAACCAAGTCTAGTGAATGACAACAACAACTACAGAAAGTATAGAAGGAAATCTACTATCATCATCTGCAATAGCTATATTTAAAGAAACTAAATTCTCTGATCTCAGCAAAATTGATCTTGCTAAAGATATATTAAAGAGAGTATGATTTAACAAAAGAAATTAAACAACATGATTTCAACATATTCATGGATAACATCATAGCCTATATACTTCAAGACCTATTAATATTAGGATTCTTTAATAGAAACTCAAACTATGGATATACCTGAGAAGATGATATAACTTTACTAGAAAGAAATTTAAACATAACAGATAATGATGATAAATTCAAAAGAATATTTAATATCTTATATATACAGAATCTCATAGATAGATTAATGTAAGAAATTTTTGAAAAACTATATCGAGACAAGTATATCAAAAAAAGACAACATTTTATATATTTTTTTTTAGCAGATTAGAATCAAGAAAATAGTAAAAAAACACTATTATATAATTAGGAATATATTAAGAAACAAGTTAAAAACAAAAGAGGCCTTGATGAAGCAATAAATGTAAATTATAATTTAATAGCAGCAAAGCCTAGACAAAAAAACTTTACTGCAACATATACAGAACAAAATCCTTAAAATCTATTACATTAATATTTATAGATACTATTTATGCATAATAGATATATTAGTGCAGAAGCACAAGCAGATGTTCAAAAGAAATTCAGATCATTAATATTTTTACCTAAGTACATTATATTACTCGAATTACAACTCTTCAAAGCACAATACTACAAAATAAGAGAAGAAGCAGCAATTAACCAATCCTTTAAAAGAGAGAATTAGACAGATCTAAAAGAAAAACTACATAAAAGAAGATATCTAGAAGAAGACTACTTCTTCCAACTACAATTTACAGAAGTATTAATATTATTTGAAATAGCTTTTGAAGCATTGGAATGAATTTACAGTACCTACTACAACAGTGACATAGGAATACAATTTTAAACCAAATTTGATAACAAATCTGAAACTAAAGAAGTATACTTTTCAATCAAGAAAAACTTAGCAGTCATAGACCTAAGTAAAGTATTATACTTTAAATATGAAAAATATAAATATTTTCAAAAAAATTATACAAGTACAAAAAGATATGCCAAATACCCAGAATAGATTAACAAATCTACAAGTAACAAAAACCAAAACTATAAAAAAAAAGCTTAAGTGAAGTACCAAAAAACTATTGACAAATTAAACAATCAAATTAGAATATTAAATATAAAGGTAAAAGGAAAGAAAAGAAATACAAACTACAAGAATACAAACCAAGAAAACCAAGTGAATCTAGACCTTGAAATGAAAGAAATAAAAAATCTAAACAAGAACCAAGACCCTATATTAAAAAGAAAAAAGAATTTCTTAGCCTAAATGAAAATTTAAAAGAACAAGAAAGAACTTCTAAGGCAAACCAATGTACAAGAAATCAAATAACCCAATTAAGTTTAGTAACTCTAACAATATAGGATACAAATCATCTATACTAAAACAATTTAATACAAAGAAACATGAGTACAGCCAAGATGAAAAATACTCCGAAGAAATCTGTAAACAAACTCGAGAACTAAAGCTACTTAAAAAACTCTACAAAAAATTCAGAAACAAAGAAGTCCTTAGCTTTACAGAAACTGGCTAAAAATTTTTAATGGGCTTAAAATGATCTTTACGATATTGATTCTATAAATTCATGCTCATAAGATTATTTTACTATAAAAAAAAAAATATAAATTTTATAATGATTTTAAGCTTATTTTTTGATAATTATATTATAATCTTATTTTTCACTAATTTTAAAAAA